GTATTTTTAGTAGAGACGGGGTTTCACCATGTTGACCAGGATGGTCTTGATCTCTTGACCTCGTGATCCACCCGCCTCGGCCTCCCAAAGTGCTGGGATTACAGGCGTGAGCCACCGCGCCCAGCCTATTCATTTATTTTTTAAAGATGGGGTTTCACCATGATGGCCAGGCTGGTCTTGAACTCCTGACCTCAGGTGATCCACCCACCTTGGCCTCCCAAAGTGCTAGGATTACAGGCATGAGCCACCGCGTCCGGCCTTTTTTTTTTTTTTTTTTTTAATTCTTGTTCTTTATAGGGAACCTAAAATTTTAACCTTCTCAATCAACAGGTTGCAAAACAGGCCCAGAGAGGTCAGGTGACTTTCCCAAGTTAGTGAAATGGGTTTCATGAGCCTGGGACCTCAGGAGCCATGAGGTTAGAGTGTGAAGTTCCCGTCTGCCCTAGCAGGCAACAGTGGCCACACTTGGCATCTGTGCCCTTTCTAGATATGGGACTTAATGGGGCCATAGATCAGTGTTAGGATTGATGATCTCATTTAGGATTTAGAAGCCCATAGGTTGGATTATAGATGTCCTCTTCTTGCTTGATGGTCTGGCATTGCCCCCTGGGCCATAGGCCTCTGGTGAGGCTCCAAAGAGGGAAGTCAGAGCTCCCAAATGAAAGGGAATCTTGGGGACTGCTCTATGCCCACTCTTCTCTTCCTAGCACTTGCCAAATTTAAACAATCTTGGTAAACAGTCCATCTTACTCATTCTTGGTACCCCCTGTGGCACCTAGCACATTACTTGGCCCTTGATGGGGTTAGTGGAAGTGGATGACTGTCACAGGTTAATGTGTGTGATAAGGAAAGAAGTTCTGACACTCCATTCATTCCTGTGACTGGGCACTAGTTCAGAAAAGACCACTTTCTTTTCTCTCCACAGACCGAAATGATTCTTCTTTGGAGCTTACCTGTTCCTGACCCCTTTATCCTTTATCCTCGGCGTTGTTGACATCTCCGCTTTCCCATTGCTGCCACACTCATTTATTGGGTAATCTGCAGTTTAGGGATGTTTAATCTTAGACTCTGCAGACTTTTGCTGTGAGTGATCAGGTATAAACAGAGTAGCTCAAATGTGTCATTTTTCTTTTTCTTTTTTTTTTGGGACAGGGTCTCACTCTGTTGCCCAGGTTGGAGTGCAGCGGTGCCGTCACCGCTTACTGCAGCCTCGACCTCGAGGGCTCAAGTGAGCCTCCCACCTCAGCCTCTCAAGTAGCTGGGACTACAGGCACATGCTATCATGCCCAGCTAATTTTTAAACATTTTTTTGTAGAGACAGGGTCTTGCTATCTTGCCCAGGCTGGTCTGAACTCCTGGACTAAAGTGATCCTCCTGGCCTGGCCTCCCAAATTGCAGGGATTATAGGCATGGGCCACTATGCCTGGAAATTTTTTTTTCTTAACTCATATTGAAGTTAATAATTTATGTAATTATGGAATGGACAGCCTATCCTAGTACTGGGACAAAGGTCTTATAATCTAGCAAGCTATGTAACTCCTGAACCCCAGTGTTCTCAGCTGAAAAATGGGGATAATACCTACCTTGCTATTCAACATTTCACGAGCATCTAACATTGGAAATAAAGCATTAAGCAAGATAAAACAGAAAAAGTTTTTCCCCTCATCAACTAAAAATTCACAATGATACTGGAAGATTATTTTGTGTGTGTGTGTGTGTGTGTGTGTGTGTGTGTGTGTGTACCAAGCACCCACAACCTAGATGACAGCCCTGTTTCGTAGTAGGTACTCAATAAATATTGACTCCCTTATCTTAGTAACACATCTCCCCTCCCCTCCTTCAACTTGGATGTATTTCAGTGTAAGACATGATTTATTCAGGAAGTTTAGAAGAAAATTATACTAATGAGTTGATTGATAAGGGTGAATGATGGTGGAAGTTGGTCAGAGAAGGCTTTGTAGAAATAGAAGAGATTTGATTAGAGCTGGGAATTGAAAGGATAAGATTTACATAAGTCATTTAACCTCTGTACACTTTCCAGAGTTGGAACAATAGGAATACTGTTGGTTGTATGTATTTTTGTGGAGTTTAAAAAAAAGTTCAAGCCTGGGCAATATGGCTACAAAAATAGAAATTGTACATCTCTACAAAAAAAACAAAATTTAGCCGGGCATGGTGATTCATGCCTGTAGTCCCAGCTATTCAGGAGACTGAGATGAGAGGATCACTTGAGCCTTGGAGACAGAGATTATAGTGAGCTGAGATCTCACCATTGCGCTCCAGCCTGGGCAATAGAGCAAGACCTTGTCTCAAAAAAAAAAGATCATAAATCAGAGGTTGCAGATGGTGGCCTACAATAACATTTAGCCAGCAGACATACCCCACACACCTTAACTTTCTATTATGAAGAATTTTGAATACGCAAAGGAAGACAGGATGGTATAATGAGCCCCTACCCAAGCCCAGCAACCATTAACTGGTGGCCATTGCTTCTCCAGCCATTCTCCCTTCACAAATTATTATAAAGCACCTCCCAGGTATCGTAACATTTCATTTATAAATATTTAGTATGTATTGCTAAAAGATAATTTTTTAAAACAAGCACTATATTCCCTAAAAAATTAACAATTTTTATTCAAATTATCTTTTGTGTTAACCAATGTGATAATTTTAAGTTTCTTTTATTTATTTCTTTGTATATATTTTTTACAGATAAGGTCTTGCTCAGTTGCCCAGGCTAGAGTATAGTGGCCCAGTCATAGCTCACGGCAGCCTCAGTCCTCCCACCTCAGCTTCCCAAATAGCCAGGATTACAGGTGCATGCCACCATGCCTGGCTAACTTTTCTAGTGTTTTAAAGTTTGGGGTCTTGCACTGTTGCTCAGGCTGGTCTTGAGCTACTAGACTTCTCTCTCAGCCACTTAAACAGTGGGGACTACAGGCATGTGCCACTGTGCCCATCCTTTCTTTTAATTTATAAGTTCCCCTTCTCTTTTTTTTTTTCTTATGGTTTTGCTGAAGAAATTGGATTGTTTTTCCTGGGAGTATTATACCTTTTTCTGGGAATTTTCAATTGTATTCCTCTGGTGTACTTAACATCTTCCTTTGGCCTCTCTATTTCCTGTAAATTTGTGGTTTACACTTTTTTAATAGAGATGGGGTTTCACCATGTTCACCAGGCTAGTCTTGAACTCTTGACCTCAAGTGATCCACCCACCTCTCAGCCCCACAAAGTGTTGGGATTACAGGTGTGATCCCCTGTGCCCAGCCATGGTGGTTTATAATTAGTTAATATATACTTAATCCAGTTGAGGTTCCATTTTTTTGGGTCAGCTACTTCACAGGTGGTGGGTGCTGTGCTCTCCATCCTCTGAGGAGGCACGTGGTATTTGCTTATCTCTGTGGTGTTTATAGTCATGCTGTTCAGTGTCTAGGTTCAGTAATTCATTATGGA